CTTTGGAATTGAAGCCTCTTGAAGAATAGACATGTTTGATTTAATAGAGAAAATAGAACGGATTTATTGTTGGTACATAATTGTTGTTAAGATTCCAATGAGTTTTCCTTTACAACATTCTGTTATATTGCTGGATTCAATTTTATGAGGTTGGGTGACATAATGATGATGTTAAGGTGAATTTGTGGTTGCAGTAGAAGATGTTACTTTATATCTCTATTGTTTCTCTTTAAAAAGAGTGTCAAATGTCATAAATGCTTGAAGATATAATAATGTGCTGTAACCATCTTGAAGGATGATGCTAAGGTGAATTTATAATTGCTTCAATTTGTAATGCCAGCTAAATTCAATTTTAAGGTTGGGATGTTAAGGTGGATTTGTAATTGGGGAGATGTTACTTCTGATGTATATAAAAAAAAGATGGAGTTGCTTGATTAAGGTTATTTCAATTGGTCATTGATATAGTAAATGAATAGTCAAATAGGTTTTGTTAGTTGGTATTATCTATTTAGTCTGTTGTTTTCTACTTAGAGAATATGAGGTCTTCATAAATTTGCAAATATTTGGCAATGTTGAATTTAAATTTTATATCAAAATGTCTTGTATAATTTTTTAATATAATACACTACCTTTATACTTTATAGTTGGGGGGATAATATTGGCATGCATATAAATAGAACTTTTTACAATATTTTGATGAGCATCCTATATTGTTTCTCCCCATACAATCTGTGACTTAATTTTATTTGAGAAGACTCGAGAGATTTGAAATTTTGGCAGATCAAAAGTTTTCCAAATGGCGTTATTATTTAAAAAGATTGTTAAACAACTTTTTTAATTAGAATTAGAGTATATCTGGTATTTTAGGGCGATTATGTCCGTTATTTAAACATAGTCTTTATCATTAAAAAAAAATGTAATCAGAAACTTGCCGGTCCTGAACCCAACCATGATCAAATGACTGGGCTTACAAATTTTTAAATATAAAAAGGGCCGATTTTTATTATATTTTTATTTTTAGAATTATATTTGTCAATCAATGAGGTAAAATCCTACAATCATAATGTTTAATATTCATTTATTGTTCATATCTTCAATTCCCCTTTGAAACACTTCACAAAATATATCCCAAAATAATTAAAAATAACGAAATTTTAAAAATGGTATGCCAATGCGTAAAATAATCAAAAATGATAATCTAAGCCGCGATAGAAAAAAAATTGCCAAAATAGAATCCCTGGTAGGCTTGAAAATGATAATTTTTTAAGAAAAATTTGGGCAAGGCGTGAAAATTTTTTTTTAAAAATCCAATATCTATTAGCGGCTCGATTTTTAAAAACGACCATCCCAATATTTTAGTCAAAAAATAATGCCAGCCTTAGGATTTTCTTCATAGATGGTAGAAAAGTTTGGACATCTATTAACGAAATCTTGAGGCTTACATAGTATTATTTTGGCTAAAATCTTAAATTAAAATTGGCAAAATAGAGCCGGTTAGCAATACTTATATATTTTCTTCCAACATGATATAATAAATGAACCGAATAATTGAAATTAAATTATAATTACAAGAGTTTATAAAGAATAAAAAAAAAATCTCACAGAAAATAAGGATCATTAAAATTTCCAAAAAAAAATTTTTTATGACTTTTTTAATTTACAATTAAATGATACATTGTTAAAATTTAATTTTTTTCAAATTCAAAATGTTATAATAAATAAGGACAAGGGGAAATTTTTTTTCTCCTTGCATAATTAATTATTTTTAAATGACATACATTTTAAAATAATATATAAAAGAAGAAATATACATTCACAGCGTTAATGTAGGTCTGATATATTAAAATAACATCCCTCTCGGTGTGACTACTCAGAGAAAGGTTTATTACTGCTAATGCATGAAGATCTATTAAGATCCTCTTGGTACAGAGAATGTATTCTAATTTTTTAACAAATTATGACCTAAAAGGTGATGTTTGATAATTTTTTCTCGCGTTAAGAATGTTTGAAGCTTAGTTTTAGAGATTAATACATTTTTAGTTTTGTGGTTTTGACTTCCAGATTTTAACGATCTAAAATCTATAATCCCTCTCTTGAGTTTTCTTCCTTCTTTTTAATTTTTTAAAAATATATCTAAAAAGAACACTTAATTGCATTTTAACATTATTAATGGATTTTTTGGCTAATGGAGCTGACTAAGAATTGTATAGAATAAATCAAGTCTGAGAAATCAAAATTCGGTTTCAATAATTTCAAACTCTATTTAGTGAAAATTCTGTTACACAAACTTAAACGAAACCAGGAAGATCGAGCTCACTCTGGTTCTAAAATACTCCAGGTTCGATTGGCTGTCCATAAATCGATGTCTGTAAATGCCCAACCAAAACAATTTTAAATGTCTAAACTTGAATTTGCAGATCATTGAAACGAAAGTAATTAACAACCTTTAGGATTGGGGGTTTTTTCTAAATTAAAATTATATTACATTAGTTCTTTAGAAACAATAATATTGGAGAAATATATTTCTCATCCCCATGGGTGAGTCATAAAAAAGCCAAAAAAAATAAGAATATTTGAAAAATATCTTTTTAATAAATTTTTACATATTTTTTTTATTTGAACAAATTATACAAACAAACACAAATAAATTTCCAGGAAAAAATTGTAAAAAAAAAGATAGAAAAGATATTTTTAAATTGAAATTGAAAATTAAATTATCATAATTATAATATATTTTAATGTATTTGAGATCGGATTTACTTATTTTATTTAATATTTAAATTTATATAGATCTATCACTTTATGCTGTGATAAAAGTAACACTTACAAAGGTATAATATAATAATTAATCGAATATGATTATATAAAGGTAATTGATTTGGGGTAAATTTATTTTATTGTTATAATTTAAGATTTTTTTTATGAAAAATAAAATATATATTCATGGTAAAAAAAATGTGCTTTCGACGTTAAATTTCAAAAAAATGCATACAATCTCATGTACCCAATTTTTTTTTACACATTGCCTATAAAGGGGCGATATCCTAATATGCCAAAAAGGAAGGGTGGGAGAATGGCAAAGGCTAAAAATGCTTTAGTCCTGCATTAAGGTATATAACTATCGTTTACTCACCCAAATAAGCCATAGAGTAAGTTGAAAATTAGATGAATTGTAGCTAATTAAGAGGCTAAAAATACTATTCCCATCTCATAAAAAAATAGTTTCAATTTTAAAAATAACAATATAACATGTCTAATTTAGGCACCGTGGTGCCAAGTTTTCGGTCCAACTTAGACGGTTCGATATCATGTAAAATTAAGGAATATTTAAATACATGCCAATTGATTCATATAAAAGATTACATTATAAATTAAAAATAAAAAAAATTGTCAAGTGATATTATATTACTTTTATCGTGGATGATATTACCCTTATCTCATCGAAACTAATAAAGAGAGCAATACTTTTGGTGAAAGTAATATACTTATATTACACTACACTTATCACTATGCGCTCTTTAAAATTAAATTATTTTAACTGAACCCGGGCCTAAAAATTTAACTTTTGCAGATCATTGAGTAAAATATAAGAATAAAAAACAATTTGGGTTGTCTTTAGTGTTGTTAAAAAGCCCGATTCTGGTCGATTTTTAAAAACGGACTTATTAAGATTATAACCAAAATAATATTGTGTAAGCCTGGTGTGGTGATTTTACTCATAGGTGGCCGAAAGATGCGGGCTACTTGCTAAATCTTAAGGTTTACACAATAATATTTTGGCTAAAATCTTAATCAGGCCGTTTTTAAAAATCTACCAAAATCGGGCTTTTTAACAACACTAGTCTCGTGGTCTCCTTTATATGAAGGTCTTGACGCTTATAACAGTTTTAAGAGAAACCTGCTAGCCTGATTCTTAAACTGAGCCCGTAATGATGGGATAATATCATTTTTTTAAATCCGGACTTTAAATTATAATATTCAATTGGAAAATCATATAAATGGAGCTTTTATTCAGTTACTGTTTATATTTTCAATTTTTTTGAAATAATTTACATAATCTAAATATTGGCCCCTCCTCAGCTGTTTGAAAATATAGCCAAAATCATTTAAAATAACGAAATTTTTAAGTTTATAAATTTTGAAAGAAGCTTCGGCCGAAATCAAAATCGTATTTTTTTTTCAAATCCGGAACCTAAAAATTCTATCTCTGCGGGGGTATCTTAGTTTTATATTATAAAAAAAAATTGTAAACAGTTTAAAGTTTTAATATAATTCTCTTTTTTTTTAATTTAGTGTCAACTGAGCTGAGGTCTTGAGAGTAACAAATATTTGTATCTAATGTAGTAATATCTAATTTTGTAATAATTTTTCTAATTATATTAAAATGATTTATTATACAAGTTTTCAAATGACTCATTTTTTTAAGTTTATCATGTAGATGTTCAACATTACCTACCACCATTATCATTGTTTTATATAATATTTTATTTTTTTTTCTGATATTTTATTTTTTAATATATCATTCTATTCCTTCATTCTTTTCTTAAATTTTCCATCGTATATTTTTTTGTCAAAAAAAATGCCTGAACTCTCTCCATGTTTTCGTCATTAAAAAAATGTTGTGGTATGCTTTAATTTTTTTTTTTAATGTGATAAGAAAAGGTTACCCACCTTGATTTTTTATATGCTGAAAAAATTTTTTTTAAAATAGTGTTTACATTCTTTATTTGATTAAATTAATTTGATATCAAATCCAACCTTTTGTTTTGTAAAAATTTTAATTAAAAAGAAAAAAATGAAAGAAAAAAATACTTTTTTAAAAATGAAAGAAAAGAATACTATTTTTACACAAAAATCAAACATAAATAATTATTTTCGGCACCTTAAAAAAAAATTTTTTTGCAATATTTGTATTTAATTTTTATAATTATTATTTTTTAGATAAAAATTATAAACAATAAATATAAGAAATTTATACAAAATATTTATTTTATTCTTTTTTTTTCAAGAAGTTTAAAACTTTGTTATAAAGGTGAAAATAATAACCTCTTTTTTTTAAAAAAAAGCCTATAAAAGCTTTAAGAAAAATATAACTCTAATCTAATCTTCTAACTTATGACTCAGCGGACAGATCTGTTTAATGATACCGGATTTCCTTATGGAAACAAAATTTCGACATTCGCCGATTGGGACTACTCTTTAGGCAACGGCTCATATGCTGAAACTACTCCAATTGACAATAGCACCCCAACTTTTCTATCATTCGATAACTATTTGTTCACCGGCCCGACAAAGGTAAGCCATATTAACGATGATAATAATTGCCTTGATTCCTATGACAGTTTACAACATTTGGGTGACTTAGAAGATGACGGAGATGTTTTCGACGATTACCCACAACCACCTTCGTTGGGGGATAGCCTTTCGCTCTATAATTCTTCTAGCTATTCTACCGGTTACCAACAATTTTGTGGGAAACCTACTTATCAGCTCAATCTACCCATCGTACACGTCGATGATCATTCCATAAAAGCCAACAAAGAGGTTAAATTTTTTACAAACAAAAAATTGGGCTAAGAACATATCAGGTTTTAGCGTTAATACCAAAAAGAGCAAGCCATAAATTCAGCGTTTAATTTAAAAAAAATTACTTCCATGTTATTAAGTAATCGATGAATATTTAAATAAATGTTTAATTTTTCAAACACTAGAACTCTCTGATATATTCTTAGCCTTGTTCTCATCAATATTATAATACTAATTATGGAGGAATTATCATATTTTATACTCGTCTAAATAGTTTAAGAGGTGAAAAGGCCTTCATCTCATCTTCTTACTTTCCCACTAGGCTGAATTTTTTTTATTATTAAATCAAAATTTTATTTCCACAGAAACACCAAAAGAAATTTATAACAAAGAAAGGCCGATTTCTTTTAGATATTTTTTTATCATTGATATTAATACCTTTTTTTAAAAAAATGGTTTATTTTATTTTAATGGGTAACTTTTTATTATTAAAGTTTATTTAATCATTATAAATCTTCTTATTATGAAAAAGAAAAATATGAACATTTTTCGAATTTTTGACACTTTAATTTTTTTTTATAATTTATAATTTTTTTTGTTTTAGATTTAAAATTTTATTGAATAAGAAAGATAAGAATAGGTACTTAATATATTTTTTTTTATAAATTCCTTTTTTTCTCTGTCTTTTTTATTGTTATAAACTTATAAAAAAATTATATCGTAACTTCAAACTCAATATGTTCAAAAGAAAAAATAACATGAAATTTTGTAATATCTTAAATAAATATTTTATTTTTTTTTCTGCCAACCTTGATTGATAAAAATATTTTATTTTATTCTTCCTTATATTGAGGAAAAGAAATTATATTCAAAATATAAAATAGCAAAATGGGAGGGGGGAGGGGAACGGAAGGAAGGAATTTTGCAAGGTGAGAGATAAATGAGAATTAATATTATATTATAATATTATTGCAAAATCGGTTAATATTTTAATTATTAGTCATACACTTCCGATTTTTATTTATTTATGATTATGCCAAAAAAAAATATAGATATTTTTATAATAATCATTAAAAAAATTAAAATTGATAATACAAATTTGGGGTTTTAAAATTTTTTTCCCCTTCAATTTTAAAAATTAAATAAAAAGATAAATAATAAATATTGTTTTAAAAAAAAATTCCAACCCAGGGTGGAATAATTATTTTTAAACTAAAAAAATGCAAGTATAAGCATACAATCCTTTTGATAAGAATAATATTATTATAAAATTTTATATTTTATTTGAGATAATAAACACCGGAACTGAAAACCAAAGTCAATACCAAAAGCATATTTTTTTGAATCTCAACTCTCAGATGTTTTATCATGGGTACTAAGTGATGAAATCACTCCATTTGAGCCGATTTTTAAAAAAAGGCTAATTCAATATTTTAGCCAGAAAAGTATTTCCTGAGCCTCAAGATTTTGCTAATAGATATCCACCTCTTTACGCCATCTATGAACAAACAGGCTTACATAATATTTTCCTGGATAAAATATTGAGTTTTCACTATTAATGAGTACCTTACTTATAATAAATTGAGGTTAACCAATACTTCAAACATAATTTTTTTTCTAACTTTAATTTCAAATAAAAATTGGAGCCATAGTTTTCTCTTTTTATATTTAAAATTCTGAATAGCAGCTCCGTAAAATAGAATATATTTTTTAGACCAAAAAACGGGGATCCAAACTGTAATATCGGTTCAGGTTTAGTTTCAGATAAAAATAATGGTTCGGTTCGTATAAAATAATAATATCAGTTCGGTTTGAACCCTTAAACGGTTTCAAACCTTTTTGCATACAAGCCTATTGAAAACAACATTTTTTTAAAAAATTATCATTATTCTCAAAAAAATAATCTTGAGTCGTATACAATTAAACTATTTTCAAGATTCACTACTGTCAAATTATGATTATAAAGATGAATAATAAATTTTAGGGCTGAGAACACTTCAATGCGAACTTGGGTAGCTAAAACCGTCAAAGAAAAATATCTAAAAATAATTACTGATATGTCAAACTATTAATCATCTTCAAAGGAGTTAAAATATCAAAAGGTTCAAAGCAGTTCACAGGCATTTTTATAGGATAGGTTTTAGGTTCAGGTTCGAGTGGCAAATTTTTTAACAGTTCGGTTTAGAATTTGTAAATAATAACAATAATTATTAACGGTTCCTGTTTGAATCCCTGCTTAAATATATAATAAACCTCGTATTTTGGTACTATCATTACCTTAAATATAAAGAAAAGTCCAAAAAGGGTGTCTTTACTGATTTTTTGGATAGAATGCTCATTTAGAACAAAAATAAAGATGTAGCCCAATAGAGAACATCAAATATCCGCCCGGATTTCTGGATAGGGTGCCTCTGTCCAATGTATGGCTGAACTTGGAATAGTGGAGTCGTAGACTAAAAATAGCCAATCAACCACGTATCTCATTCTTTATATTCAAGCGGGTTTTATTGATGACTCATAAATAACCCCAAACTTTCTTTTATTGATGTTAAAATACTAGTTGCACATTCTAATTATTTTGAATGTTCATAATTGTTTACATTTAGAGATTTTTAATAAAAATATTTCTATGATTTATTAGTTGTATTATTTCAAAAAATATTGGCTACCACCATGCCCCCTACTGAGAATTCCTGGCTACAGACCTGTAGTGGCTATGGAATATGAAATGAAAAATGAATAAATATTTAAAAGAGAATTTATTAAACCTTCATAGGTAGCGTCTCTGAGACGTGTGAGTGTCACATCCTGGAAATTAAATGCGTGATGGACGTTTATATAGATGAGATCAAAAGCCTTGTCCGGTCATTTTTTTTATTTTATTTTAAACCTAGTCCAGGCTTTTATATATGTATTTGTTTATAAATTTTAATTATTATTATAAATAATTTTAACCGATTTTTACAAATGATTCCAACTTTCTACTGGATTAATCCGAAAAACTAGGAAAAACAAAATTGTTTTCCATCCTTTCATTGGTTTGGTGGTTTGGTAGATATTTCTAATCCCTAATCGGAAAATATTTTCATCCGCAAAATAACAGAAGACAATGGTAAAAAAAACAACAATAATCCTAAATAAACTCAGCGAGATACTGGGTTTTAGTAATTTTTTTAAAAAAAATATACTCTTTAGCTCCGAATCAGGTTTATTTTATTAAAATCTTTATTCCTAGTGAAAATAGAATTATTTTTTATATACTGTCAGGGATTTCTATAACGGTGGAGGTGGGTGGGGGGGGGGGGGGATAAAGCAATATTCGATTTGTACTTTCATAGGTCTAGTTTTCACTTTGATTTATACATATTTAGAGTAAATCTGTTTTATCCGGCAATGTGTTATTATTTTTAAAATTTTAACCATTTTTATAAACTTCTTTTTTTTTAAACTTGATAAATAATACATACCCTATGTAATGAATTTCAGGAACTAATTTATTATATTAATTTTTCCATAGGTTTTTGACATAAATTAAAAATGACTCAAAAATTTAATAGGAAAACTATCTGAAATTTATTTTTCTGGGATATATTTCCAGAAATCAAATAAAAACCACCTTAATAAATGATTTAAAATTGGGGGAGGGGGGCACATTGCCTGAGAAAACACATTGACGTTAACGCAATTTAATAAAATAAATTAAGATATTACAATCGATTTTCTTCTGCCGGTTGTTATTATCTTGAAATTTTTTTATCGAAAGATTATGTTCTAAAATAGGAAAGCAGATTAGATATGCCATATATGCAGTGGCGTATCCAAGATTTATCCATGGGGGGGAGGGGAGATTAAAATTTTTAGGGGGCTTCGACCCCGGACCCCAGTTTGATAAAGTATTTTATTGACTTTTTTGTTCTTTAATTCATCTCTGTTGAAGTTGGATTAAAAATTGGAACTGCTAATTCTGTGTCTGACTTTAACTAATATAGTAGCCAGCATAAATGAAAAATTATTAGTATAAAATTTTGGCAATCTTACGATTAAAAATCGACTGAAAGTATTATTCTGAAAAATTTTATCCATATTTACTGCTCAATTGTAAATTAATTTAATCCGTTTGGTAGACAATAGAAATAAATTGGCATTATGGGGAAATATTTAAAAAAACAATATGTCTGGCGTACGCTAATATTTAGTATCTAACATTCCTCAATCAAAAACCATAAAAAGAAACAATTATAAACAAAAGGAAAACTAAGACATCAGGTTTTAAGAGTGAAGTCAGCCAAGTTTTTGGAAAAATTTGAAATACCAAACCATTAAGTAGGGCTTTATTAGATCATTTTATTGTTTTATTCTGTTTAGTAGATGGATTAAAATCTCAAAATGAATTATTGGTAAAAGAAACAAAATTATCAAAATTAGCTTCATGCCAAAATGGAGAATATAAATGTTATAACTGTCTGGTTTGCGTGAGTGCCTTACTTTCTTTAAACAATTTCGCCAGCTACAAAAAAAGTAATCGAATTACGAACCAAATACCAACTATGATGTCACGCCTTAAGCATAAAGTCATCCAATGGAAGCATTATCTCTGATATTTATGGCAATAATTAGTGCTTATTTCATACATTTTAGTGCTTCAACCCTGTTGGTAGATAGTTTTATTATTGGAAAATAAAAATAAATTGCCAATATTACATCATGTTAGGAGGAAAATTATAGAAAGGCATAGGGATGTACCGACATTTTTTATCGGATAGGATCGGGCCGATATTTCACCCATTTTAAAATATCGGTTATCGACAAATATTATAAAATTTCCCGATCCGATAAAAAATGGCGTTTTTACCCAAAATAAAATATTATAAAATTTAAAAAGAAAGTTATCTAAAATCCATTTATTTTTATAAATAAAATTGAAATTCATTTTATGTTTAATTTTTTAATAATAATAATTAATTAATAAACATTCTGCCATATTGCGCATTCTCTAAAGTGTGCGATAATTTCTTCTGAATCTGTTTTTAGTGAAATTGACAGTCCCATCTCCGCAGACTGACCTCTTGATAAATTGAAAATATACTTTTAGAATTGTAATTGAATTGAATATAAACTATAATTGATCATTTTAATATGTTTAAATGACATATGTTATGGGATAGTTAATTTATAGATGTTATGCTATATTAATAAAAAGTATATTAAAAATTAAAACCATTGGTATCTTTACAGAATACAAAATTATATATGATATCGGATTGGTAATCAGCCGATATCAATATCGGATCGGCCTCCAAAAAGTGGCATCGGTACACCCCTAGAAAGGCATGATTAGTACCTACTAATTCATTAATTTTTATAATCAATAAATAAAAATCAAATATACGCTAAATAAAATACGCCTTACCCTTCATTCATAGTTAGCACGAATTCGCGGCAAAGCATATAAAGTATGTTATATTTTTATATACTTCGCCATGAATTATAACTGAATGCAGGATTAAGCTGAGTCTTAAATATCGAATTTTAAATTACGATTCAAAAATTAAATACGTCTAATACATTAAAATTTTTATAAATGTTAATTAGTTCTTTTCAGTTTATTTAATAGATATAATTAATTTTTTTTATTTGAGGGTTATGGGGGGGGTCCTAAAACTCACCCTTGTCTACCCCCCCCCCCATATCAGATCATACCACCAACATCGATCGTATCATGTTTATTTATATATTATAAGGTAATTTATAAAAAATTTACAAAGAACTTTCAGGCATAAATATGAGTCACTGAATTTAATATTGCAAAAAAATGTTGCAATTAGATGGTTTGGGTCTCAAATAAGCCTAAAACGAATTACTTATTCTTTGAATATGAATTTGTTACGAATATCAATTTATTAGATCAAATTATTCGTATTTTCAAAATTATTCGTAAAGTATTTTCAACATGTTCCTTGTGGATTCCACTTTTTTAAAAATTTATTACTCCATTTTTTCGCTTTTTAAAAACACACAAAAAAAAATTAATTATCAGAACGAAGCGGGGTTTTATTATTCATATGAATACTATTACGAATAAAGATTAATTCAATTTGTACAAATAATTAATATTTAATTCGAAAATATTAATCGAATAAGAACAGTGGAATTATGATTTGTAACTATCTCCCCTTTTTGGTTTTGGAGAATCACCTGATGATTTGAGCAAATCATTTCAATTACGCTCAAATTAGCGTCGTTATAGTAATTGGTGACAATTTTTAGTTGTTTTAACATTATTTTTAAGGGAATCCATGTTTTATCAATCATGGGGGATTTAAGTTTATATAAAGAGATTATTATTTTCCAATGCTTCTAATTAATATGGCAATTCGATTGTTTATTATAAATATTTCTTTTCTCTTCATTTTTTAGAATGGGTATTTCAATGATACAACATCCTTCATTAAACGCTCTGACGATATCGATTCTAGGCTTAAAACGTTAAACAATATCAATAATGATAACACCATGATCTTCTCATCATCATGCCCTATCATAACCAATCCATTCTCTCCTTCCTTTACCTCGAAGTCGAAGCAATTTAAAATAGATGACGATCAGTTTAGACGCCCAAGTTCATCGTTCGTAGATGATTTTTTTAGGAATCAAGAAGACGCTTCTCTGGTGTCCCATAAACGCGTTTCGTATACCCTTAATTCACCGCGATTCGCGCTGAACGTGACTAACCAAGTTTTCGATTTTAACTTCGATGCTACCGCATCCCTAACACATCAACAATTATCCAATAAATATTTCGACAATTCCAAATTCAGCTCATCTACCATAAAGTTGACTCAAATAGCTGGAACTCCGGAAGGATTATCTAAACGTAGTTCTTCATCTTCTCTCTTACACCGTAAAGCATCTTTGACTTCTATTACTAGGTTTCATGATCTATTTAAGTATAAGAAATCAGAATTTAAGCAATCTTTCAACGAAACAACCAAGATTTTGAGGCTGACTCGCAATGAAGCCAACATTCATTTGTTAAATTCTCCTTGTTCTCCTTGCTTTGATTCCTTCAATATTATTCCTCGTAAACTTAGCAGTAATTCAGACGACCAAATTCTTACTACCCGGCAAGCGTTGAAAGATATAACAGAGTCTATAATAAAAATTGAGTCTGATGAACACTGGGTATCAAAAAATCTTGGTGGAAAAGTTTATACCGATTTTAGTAATACTATTAGTAATATTAATACTACCGATTATGGTGTAAAACGAAAGCTAGGGATTATACCTTTGTCTTTATTATCAAACCCTACTTCGGCTGTTTTGGAAGAGGGCCAGAGCTTTGCATCACTGCCAGCCAATTCAAAAATAAATTTTAATTATATGTGCCCCTTTGAACCTAATAATGCATTTGAGAATACCTTTAATGGGGTCTTGAATAATAATTTACCTTACTTCCCTGGCTTTCAAGGTGATAAATTATCCATCGCATATACCAATATTAATAATGACATGCTGCCGCAAACAGATATCGATGGCCATAATGAGCCATGGGAATTATTAGGAGCGGAAACAATTGTGTCATCATCATCAATTAATAGAGACTTAAAATACGACGAAATGCAATTAAGCACCTCTTCGATTCATATAAATAATTTTCAACAAAATGCAAATCCTATCGAAACTAAGCCCGATTACCTCACCTCTAATACGTATAATAAAACTATCTACATCAAGCAAGATTACAACGATTCGAACACTTATCATACATCATTAGACATGGGAAATCAGCCAATCTCACAAGAAGAGGATGTTGATTCATCTTATTATTCTTCGTCACCTTTGTCGAGCTTTAATACCAACTGTTATGTAAGAGCTCATATCGAAAACCCTATCAATCCTCATTTTTTCCATAAAATTAATATAATGAATCCATTAAACACAGTCGTGAAGACAAGAAAAAAGCGTCGAGTTAAACGCGTAGTCGAAAATAATATTTCAACTCATACATCGTTACAAAAAATGTCAGCCGCAGAAGATCATTCTTACACTATCAAAAGTTTGCGATTAAGCTTTCCAAGCACGCTCGACCCGGTTGAAAATAAAGATAATACCTCCGGTATAAAGCAAGAATGTCATTTCGTCAAAAATTGTAGCAAGCAGAGCACTACTTACCAATCCATCATCTGCGTAAAACCTCACGATGGCCCTTGGGCTTTTCCTTTGGCGCTCAAGTCTGACGCCAAATTTAGGGCCGCCATATTGATGACCCCTAAATACAAACCGCGCAGAGTAAATAAAAATAACTATAATGATCTGGAAGAGAAACGGATTCATTTATGCCATTTTTCTGGTAAGGTTTAAAATTTAGTATATTTTTTATTAAACTATATATTTGAATTTTTTGGGATCTAAGAAAGAGGTTTTTATTTCAGAACCCGTTAAAGAACAGCTGAAGGTATGCCCCAGATCTCCCCCACAGTATAAGCGAACACTCCAATTGGCTAATAATAGTCGTTATGAGATTGGTATATCGTATTTATTTTTTTACGCTAACACTAAATTAATAGTGGTACAAATTGAGCTGAACCTTTTGTCGATGAATTTTTCTCAAAAAACCAAGGGTTCAAACTGAATCGTTAATTGTTATTATTTCCCGAACTTGAAACATTAAAGATTTGTCACCCGAGCCTGAGCCAAACTTCTAATAATGCCCGTGAACTGGTTCGAACATTTTGATATTAACTAATAATATTAAATTATTTTTTTATTTAAGTGTTTAATTCTTATCATCAGAGTATGGAACTAGAATTTTGAACCTCGTAGATTCTAAACCGAACCGCTTTCGGAAAAATATTAAGAAACGGAACTCCTTAGTCTAGGTTCCAAATTTGGAACCGAATCTCTATTCAGAACTGGTACCATTATTCCAGTCGGGGTTCTAAACTTTAGTAGCGAACAACGCGTTAAAATCCTTAATTCGATGTTGATACCTGCCAGTATACTCATTTTTGATAATTTTTTAATAAATCATTTTATCTAATATAAATCCGGACAAATGATCATGTTATGTATATTTACATGCCTGTATTATATTTTGATGGAACCCATGTTTACATTAAAATAAGAAACCGGCAATATGATTACTTAATATTAAAAAAAAACCTCATTTTATTAATCTTTTGAAACTAAAGGTCAAATGATTTACAAACGAGCAATTATAAATTTTTTTTAGCCTTAGGCAAATATTATTTTGCTACAAATTCTTTAAAAGGATGTCAACTATTTTTTTGGCACTGCATTGTTTAAATTATTTCTAATAAAGCAAATGATATTTTAGGACCTATTGTTTAAAAAAAAATACTATTTGTTGGTCATATATATAATCCTTTCATATTAAATTTATATAAAAATTCTTATTAAAATAGGTTGCTCTAAAGCCTACACCAAAAGTTCTCATCTCAGGGCTCATCAAAGATTGCACACAGGTTTTAAGTTATATATGTTTAAAATAATTCCCGGTTTATTATTATAATTTTTTTTAACTGCCAACTAAGTGTTGTTAAACGGCCCCATCTTTAAAAACTAACCGATACCAGAAAATATTAAAGCAAGCCTGCATAGAAGTATCTAAGATTTTTTATGTGGGTGGGGGTATTATTAGGCGGTCATAAATTTTATTGGCTTCGGTCCACTTATTGTAGGACCTTGATATTTTTATATTGGGTTTTCCCCTCTTTTTTTCTAAAAAATTTGAATTATATGGTTATTTTAAAAATTTATTAACTTTTAATAATTTATCTTTTAATAATTTATCTTTTAAATTCTTCTTTATAGTGATTATTTATTGTGTACATTTTTGGTGGGAAATTATTATTAGCCTAAAATGATATATCTTAGAACAGATATTTACGATGGGGGGTAAGGGGTGAGGATTCCGCCTCTTTGGTTACGCGCTTGCGAGCCGGGAGATTTCGATAATATGTGGCAGAAAGGTTTGGGCATCTGTTAAGGAAATCTCGAGTTTGCAAATATTATTTTAGCTAAAATCTTAATATAAAATTGGCTAAATCGAGCCATTTAACAACACTATCCCGAATCCGACTTCCAAAAATACACAATTTATAACTCACCAAAACAGAGAAATATAGTTTTCTAATTGAAGAAGCAATACATATGATTTTATTATTTACTAATTACATGATAATTTTTTAAGAACCCTGAATGAAGTCTAATTTTTTTTTGTCCGGGCGGCCCCAACTAATTTTAGAAATAGTAATGTCTTTTATACGACTCTGTTCCTCACTGGTTATAAAAATTTAACGATTTTATAAGGAAAGCGGGACATTTATATGGGCTCGAGGAGAATAAGATTTATTTTATTCTTATAGAAATAAAAACCTTATAAATATATTACTTAAAAAAAATAAGGAAAATCCTTTAAAGATAAGTTTAATATATTTTAATTTGAACAAAATAAATTGTATATTATTATATTATGTTGTATATGATTTTAGGTGAGAAACCTTACAGATGTCAATGGCCTAATTGTTTTTGGACGTTTACTAGATCTGACGAATTGACCAGGCACTATCGCAAACACACCGGTGCGAAACCTTTCAAGTGTTCGGTTTGTTGTAGATGCTTCGCGCGTTCCGATCATTTAGCTCTGCACGCCAAAAAACATAACTCAAATCATTTAAATATTAAGATTTGAATAATGTTTATTATTATATTTTTTTATCAAATAAATATTATGTAAGACAACTATTGTTGACCATTTGATGTATTTTTAAAATTACACTAAACAAAATTATACAGTTATTTTGCGATTAAGATTTTTTTTAAAATTTAACAATTAAAAACAGTTATTATGAGACAATTGTTTTTATAATTATTGCGAGTGTACAAGGTCGTGTTAAGACTTATGGCCGTCCGGAGTAAAGATGAATTAGGCTGCTATTTTATAAACCCAAATACTTTAAAAAATCATAAAAATAACTAGGTTAGTCATTGTTTTAAATAAGTAGCTTAGAATTTATATGAATTAAGTAATGTTGTAAACGAACGTGTTCAAAGTGAACATTTTTTTGAAAAAATTGATGAACGGCGTTTCTTTTATTTTTGACGAATTTGAACGTGAACCCCTTTCCTTTTTTTGACGAACGCGTTCGTTTAAAAAATATATGGTATCTATTTATATTAAATAAAAATTTTAAAAAAATTTACTCATAAAGTATTGAATGAACGTAAACGCTTTTTTGAAGTTAAAAGTAGTTCGATTCGATTTTTGTCAATGAAAACGTAAATGCGTTCGATTTTTTTAGAAATATTTACAGCACTAAAAATAAAATATTTATACAATATAATATAGTAAAATATATATATATAATTTACAAAATGAACTATATAATATTAAACAACATAATTTGTATATTTTATATACTTTTTAAAAAGCATTTATTAAATGCATAAAAAATATAATTTGCAGCCCCTAAAATTGTCTGGCGACTTAGGACAGCTGTTCCATCCGATCGCCCATTTACATAGGCCTGTTAGTGTAACTATTCCCATTTACATAGGCCTGTTAGTGTAACTATATTATGATAGTAAATATTATTTTATTAATGAAATGTGAACTTTTATTATAATTACCAAACAGTAAGAAAAATATATTAATACTATCAAAGGGAAATAATAGAGAAAAATAAAATGAATATTAAGTCATATAAAATGTAAAACTAGTGCTGTAAAAAAACGCGTTACCGTAACTCGTTACGTCTGAAAAAGGAACGCGTTGCCGTTACTCGTAACCTTTTTAAAAAAGGAACGCGCGTTACTGACTATTCAAAAAAGTAACGGGTTACGTTACTTAAAAAATTAAATATTGTATACAAAAAAGATAATATTTATTTTTTACCTGCAAATAATATAAAAAAAACTATACAAAAAGAATATATAATAAGATCAGATCTTTTTATAGAAAAAAATTTCATATATTTAATTATAATATAAATAAAATTATACAAAAATAATATAATATATTTTATATAAGATAACATCTTTTGTAACAATTTTTAATTTATTTTTAGCAACAATTTATTTCAAAATTTCGATCAGACAAAAGAGCGTTTAGTGCTCAACACACCTTTTGCCGTGCTAAACACACGTTCAATTGGCGCAGAGGATAGGAGAGTTATTAATAAATAAATATTTTAATTGGGGGAATTTATTAAAAATATTTAAAGAATTATCTTTATTTTGAAAAGGCTTAATAGATCATCTTCACAAGGATTTTCATTCATTTCCTCATCAAAAAAAATTGTTGGATAAAAAAATTAAGTCTGCTAATTCTTTATCCGGATCTTTTCTCAAACTGGAAATAAGTTCTAGCATTCTATTCTTCCTTTGTTGACCTTTAATTTTATTCAAAGCCAATCCAATTTAAATAACGGATGAATTATTGCGGATAGTATATATTCATCTTTATAGATGTTTGAATCTATTGAAAATAAAAGATAATCAAAATATAGCTTGTAAGTAATATTTGAATTGTATACCTTTTATCTGCCTTTCAGGATTAAATTAATAAGCAGCTTACAAAATTTGAAATTATTTAAAGCCATTTTTTTAAGTTTTAATATTATAATAGTTATCGTGGGAGTGAAATATCCCAAATTGAAAGAGCCGTAGCAATCGGTTCCATAACCTATAAAATCATATATATACATATTATATTTCTTAATTAACACTAACCATACAATATTCATCCATGAACGACTTGTCGTTATCTGAATATCTCTGTAACTCAGATTTATTAAGATTCGTCAAATTTTTGGCAATTCTTCTTAATAAGACTATCTATTAATTTCACATAGTTATAAAAAGAGTTCCATCTTGTTAGGTTTAATCAGATATCTTCCCATGTTTTCCTTAAAAATGGATGCATGCTCATGTTTTTTCCACAATAGCTAACACTTAGAAAATGTTATTTTTGAAATGATTTTAAAATGGACATCGTTACCTGCTCTTTTAATGTCAACACTTGCAATGAAATTTAAAGTGTGTGTGTTAAACAGGAATGTTGCTTAGGTAAGTATACAATGCTAGTATTTTGATATTCAAAAAGATCAATTAGTGGTAGAGGAACTATTTCATCACCCGATTCCTCCTTGTTCATATACTCTTATAAATTTTTAATAAATTTATTATAATTTTTTTACTTGAAAGCTTTTATATAATTTCTAGCATTGTCGATAATGCATTTTATCACTTTATTTTGTATTTTAAAGGTAAAATATTTCAAAGTTTATTTTTGCTAGATAATCAAATGTTTGTTTTTGGTTTAGCCTTTTACAAATTAAGCAGGCTGAAACACTCTCAATAGTGTCTGGGTGTAGCCAGTGTACCATCATCCCTAAATAAGAATTTATATTTTATATATCGATGAAAAGCTGACCACGAATCCACAGTTGTACAGACAATTTTTATACACAATAAATTCCCTAATTTCTTTGCCATGGTGTCATATGCTTTGTTAATTTTTAATATAAGGGTTGGCCTTGACATCACATTTGGTTGCAATTTTTTGATAATATTAATAAATGTAAGCCTTTTACAATTGAAAATGGTTGTAATTCTTTAATTACACAATTAAAAACTGAATCATCAACAGTTGACTGTGCTATTTTTATCTTTGATGTAGATGGAGTCTGCAACTCAATGAATGTGAGTTGATAGGCTTCAGTTTTATTTTAAATTATAACATGTTCATTAATCTCTTTCATTTTTGAGGAATATACAGTCTATAATTTTTTAATTAAAATATTATTAATTCCTGAATTTTTTATCAAAAATAACATAGCTTTGTGAAGATAAATTTTTTAAAAATTTAATTGCATTTTTTAATCTCTCACCATTGGCGTACGCAGGGGGAGGGGGCAGGGAAACAAATCCCCCCAAGCCAAAAAATGCAGATGCCGGATATCTTTTTCAAAAATATTATTGTTTATATTAATTTATATTTGTTAATATTTATTCGTATCTCATATTAAATATATATTTAATTACATTTATTATCACATTCATAAGTAATTTTATCAATTAATTTCGATTTCAAGTTTTCCGGCTTAATATTTACTTATTATTTTCAAATTTTTAGTGACGTAATATTTATCTACCATTTTCAAATTTCTAGTCAAATAATAATTATTTCTGAAACTTCTGGTCCAACAGGGAAAAAGAAATTGCAACCTTGTCCAACGAGATAGAGTCTCTGCCATCAAGAGGTAACAGCTTTTAAGGAGTTAGAAGAGCCAATTATTTGCTATTACTGAAATATCACAATGGCCTGAAAGAAATATTTCCTCAGAAGCAAGAAAATTATTGGATTCAATGCTTATTCCAAATTTTATTTCTCATTAGAATGTATTTTTAATTATATAACTATTTTAAGTATTACTTTTCAAAAACATGACATTTACTTGATTAAGAAGATGAGAATAGCTGAGAGAATTTTATCAGAACTCAAGGGAATTAGAGCTAATGTTGATGAAGAATTTCTTATTTTATTGTTGAGTCAAAAGCAGAGCTATACATGTTTAATATTTGTCTCCCTCGACTTGTAGCAAGGCAAGCTCATCGTTAAAACATTAATATAGGATCAGTAGAAGAGTATATCTTAGATACAGATACATTTTTAACCCAAATAAATGAATTTTTAATTCATCATGCAGCACTTACTAATCTGCAAATATTACTTCCACAAAAGCCTTCCCAACCTTTTTCAGATGGTGATAGAAAAAAAATATTTGTTAGATTTTTATTATAAAGATGTTAAAGTATCTTATGATGCCTTACTAGCTGAATAACTATGTTTATAAGATTAACTATGGTTGATTTAGTCCCAAAAAATGCTATGGATGCTCTGCATTATTTCACACACATTTTAGATTAAATTCCCAATGTATTAAAAGGGTTTATAAACTCTTCCCATTGGTAAACTAATGAGAGAACATTCTCTTTTTTAAGAATAATAACAGAGGCCTGCAGAAGTACCATTTGAAGGGCATGGCCCGGATTTTTTTAAAGATTTTTTACGGCCCGGCCTGGGTTTTTTTAAAAAAATTTTCAGGCCCGGCCCGGCTTTTTTTAAAAAAAATTTTAGGCCAGGCTCGGCTTTTTTTAAAAAATTTTCAAGCCCGGCCCGGATTTTTTTAAAATAAATTATATTTATTTTTGATTTTTATAGCTAATAATAACGATATAAAATATAGCTGTTTTAAAAATACAGCCCGGCCTGGGTGTTTTTTAAAAATAATTCAGGCCCGGCTTGGGTGTTTTATTTAAAAATAATTCAGGCCCGGCTTGGGTGTTTTATTTAAAAAAATTCAGGTCCGGCCAAGGTGTTTTTTAAAAAAATTTCGGGCCCGGCCCGGGAATATTTAAAAAAATTAAAATACTGTCCGGCCCAGGGGTCGGGCCTGCAGGTCTCTGAAAAACATACCAAGAAGTACAACATCTGAAAGTAGATTGAAAGGTTTGAATCTTTTGAATATTCATAGGCATTTGACGACAAGCAAGGATGAGATAATTGAAAAATTAGCTCAATCCCAATGAAGATTGGATTTTACATTGTAAATATATAACATTCAAAATGCAATTATTCCTAAGAAACTTTTTGTGTAAAGGCTCAAAAAATTCAAATTTCTATTTTTTTGGGGTCATTTAAGTGATTCTTTACATATAATTTTTTTACAATTCACATT